CTTAAGGCGCGAACTGCAATCTCCAGACGTCTCCGCTATCGTTCGCCGAATCGATGTCATCGCCCGAAGCGGAACAGGTGTTCAATCAGACGCCACTCCATTTGGCGATCGTCGGCGGCCACGAGTCGGTGATCGAAGTGATACTCAACCAAAATAACAGGTCGTCGTCGATGAAGGGCGACGTCGGCTCAGCTCTACTGCAGCCGAACCTCAATCTCAAGAACTCCAAAGACCAGACGCCGCTATCGCTGGCCATACAGTCGGGCCTTCACACGACGGCCCAGATGTTGATCAACGCCGGCGCCAGCGTTAATATAATCGACGCCAACGGCCGCTCACTCCTGCATCAGGCCATCATCGATGGCGACGAACAGAACGCCATATTCCTCCTCAACCACGGCTCCGACATCGCTCTCAAGACACCGGACGGCGAGACGAGTCTCCAATTGGCTGTCAAACACCAATTGGATTCAGTGGCTGACGAGTTGTGCGCCAAAGGATCCGATGTTAATGTTGTTGATAAAGACAGTAATTGTCTTCTATGGTCAGCCCTACAACTGGAGGACGACAACATCGCGTCCACACTTGTGCGCTATCAGTGCGACACTGATTACTGGGCGCCGGCAGAGGACGGCCTCCAACAGACACTATTGCATCGGGCGTTGGACGAGAACAACGAGAGAGCGGCCTGTTTTCTGATCCGTTGCGGTTGCGATATCAACGCCACCCGACGGCCGCCGCCCAACGCCACCGGCAATGAAGAGGTGGACAAACAGACGCCGGTATTTGTTTTGCAACTGATTGTACTTTTAGAGCGTTTTTACTAATATTTTTTGCCCTATTTTTAGCTCCACTTAGCGTCGGGTTGGGGTCTGGAGGACGTGGTGTACACACTGTTGGAGCACTTGGCGAATGTGAACGCACAGGACGTCGAGGGCAAGACAGCCCTTATGATCGCGATTGTCAATCAACACCAGAAGATAATAACACTGCTTCTGGAGTGCAAGCAAATCGATCTGTCCCTACGCGACATCACCGGCAATACGGCGTTCTCGCTGTGCGTGAAGTACCGCAACAATAGGGCCGCCCTATCGGTGCTGATCAAAGAGCCGACCGCTGCCGACAAATACGACGGAAAGGGCAGGAATTACCTGCACATCGCCGTCGAGAAGAAGGACATCGAGAGCGTACTATTCCTTCTCAGTATTAAAGTGAAAGTGCACTCCAGAGTGCGCGACAACACACAGAAGACGGCTCTCCATTTGGCCGCAGAGGCCGGCAATGAGATGATTGTCCGCAATCTATTGCTCGCCGACGCGCCCATCGCTGACGTGACGTCCGCTAAACAAACCGGTAATTTGATTGTGTTTTCTGTTATCATTCGTTAAATTGTTTAATATTTTACTAATTCTTATAATCAGCTCTTCATTTGGCGGCCGAACACGACTTCAGCGCCATTTGTTCTATACTTCTGGAGAATGGTGTCGATTACGACGCGGTCGACATCAACGGTAACAACGCGTTGCACATCGCGTGCCAAAAGGGACAGTTGGCCACCTGTAAGGTATTGTTGGCCGAGTCCCGTATCAGCGCTGATACGCTCAACCTTAAGGGCCAGAATCCGGTCCACTTGTTGGCCACGTTTGGTCGCGAGAACGCGGCCGCCATTTTCGAGATCTTCATCGAGTCTATGCCCGAGTATCCCATCAATAAAGTCGACGGCACCGGCAATACGCCACTGCTTTTGGGTAAGCGTTATAAGCGAATGACATTCAAATCAAACCCATAGCGTTATTTCAATGCCATTCCTATCCAATAGCGTATATGAATGGCAACGGAAACCTGTGCCGAGCGCTCATCAAATCGGGCGCAGTGTTGGGCACCTGTAATAACGACGGCGTAAACATATTCAACCATTCGGTGGCCACAAAGAATCTGCTCTACCGTTTGCTGGACTTTCTGCCGGCCGAACCGCCCTGGACTGCGGCCGAGGCGTGCCTGGAGTGTGGCCTCAAGTTCAGTCTCACCACACGTAAGCATCACTGCCGCCACTGCGGGCGTGTGCTGTGCAGCCGGTGCTCCGGTAAGGATCTGCCCATTTTGAAGTTCAATCTGACAAAACCGGTCAGAGTGTGCGAAGTCTGCTTCGATGTACTCACTCTCGGCTTCAATACGTAAGG